GCTGAAAAACAGCACATAGATTTCTTCTTTGTGCATTATCCACAGCATACACTGCCCTTCGTTTATACTGCCAGCATGGTTTGAAGAGCAATAGGATACATTTATTTATTTAGAAGATATGCCCTTGCCTTGTAACCAACTGATTCTGAAAGCAATTCACAAGTAACTCAAATGCACTGCTCTCTCACACAAATGCCTACACAGAAAACCCAGTACCTTCCGACTGTTGGAAGTTGGAAGCAAGCTCCCTTTGGTTGCTTAGTTTTAAGAAAAGATAGACTGAGATTATTTAGCAGCTGAATATACATTCTAGACTCTCCACTGCCAAAATTCAATGTGCTTGAACCCCAGGCCTGACAAAAAAACCCACACCAATTAAAAATCAGTGTCGATGTCATTGTGAACTGAGTAAGCATAAAGGTCATGGATGGCCTCCAATCATTCATAGCCTATCCCTGCTAGAGTAAAGGCAGCTTCTTGTCAAAGGTGCCCAAACTCTTGACATTTGCTCTCATACACAGACATAGTTCTTAATATAGCTTCGCCACTGTTATTTGGAAGGTTGTGCAGAGGCTAGTATTTCTGAGCTTCCAATACAAATACACTCCTAAGGCTTTTCTTATACAGTGGTACCTCAACTTACGAACTTAATCCGTATTGGAACAGCATTCGTACGTCAGAAAGTTTGTAAGTTGAGGCAAGATTTCCCATAGGAATGCATTGAAAACCATTTAATCCAGGCTGTTTTTTGTTTGTAGGTCGAGCCGCTGTTCGTAAGTAGAGGCATTAGTTCCCATAGGAACTAATGCAAAGCCGGTTAATCCGTCCTCTACCACTAGGGGGATAATTTTTTTCAATTTTTTTTCTTCTTTTGACCTAAGATGAACTTAGGTCAAAAAAGGGCAGGAAAGGTTTTTTTTCCGTTTGTAACTCGAGGCTCCATTCGCAAGTCGAAGCAACATTTTGCAGACAGAGCAGTTCGTAACTTGAAATGTTCGCTAGTGGAGACGTTCGTAAGTCAAGGTACCACTGTATAGAAGGCCAGATTTCTTGCCAGGCTTGAATTTTACCAAAGTCAAAGAAGTGTTTTTTCTTTCTTTCTTTCATCCCACTCCAGTCAACATCCTCCCTAGAGATGGGCATGAATTTCGGTTCGGATGTTTGGGCTTGTTTGTGAGCATGGCACCACAGGCACTGCACACTCCTTTCCCCCACCTCCCTGGGTGGATCCCCCACTCACCAGGTGGCACACACTCCTCTCCTCCTTCTCTTTGACTGCTCAGCCAGTTCCTGGCAGGAGCATGGGCTTCCTTGCCTCGCCTCTTTCGTTGATGGCCCAGTCAGACAAGGAGGTGAGACAGGTAAGCCTGGGCTCCTGCCAGGGACTGGCTGAGCAGCCAAAGAGAGGGAGGAGTGTGCATCGGTTGGTGAGTGGGACAATGGTCAGGGAGGTGAGGGAAGGGAACATGAAGGCAGCCGGTACTCTACCAGCAGTAACAGCAAACAAAAAGAAGGGAGGGAAGGAAGGAAGGAGGGAAGCATTCTCTCTTCCACTTCAGCTTCTGACTCCTGGGAAATGTAGCCTTCATAAGGGCCACCAACGTGGGCAACAGAGTTAGCTTAGTTCACATAAAGTGGAGCTAGGATCTGATTCAGGTGGGAATCCACCAAAAATAGTAAGTGGTAGAATAATAGGGACAGAAGACTGTCTCCCCTCCAGCCCCCGATAAATGTAGTTTATGAACAGCCACTGACTTCCAAATAGATTCAGAGGGGCTCTCATGAAGACAAGCACTTTCCTGGCTGAAAAACTGGGTGGCTTAGCACAAACCAATATGATTCAAACACCAAGATGCTTGTCCATCATTCTTTAGTCTTTACCTAAAAGTAGGAGGGCTTTTTAGAAATGAGAAAGAACTGCAAATTAATCACAATATGATTTTCACTTTAGAAAACACCTGGCAAACTCCAGCTCCCACATCCATGCTGTGCTTCTTTCTGTTATTTCATTCTGTCTTTGTTTTTTTGGAAAATAATCCAGCCACTGTAATGATTTTGACACAAGTTCAATTTTGACTTTATGCAAATAAGTACACGAAGCATTCTATACACAGATTGTCTTCTGTGTCATCAGAAATCTGAGCATAAATTTATGGAGCATAATGGGGAAAGAGGATGGAGAAAATTTGATTAGGGAGGGAGGAAGCCCAAAGTACTGAATTATGACAACTAGTTTTTAGAAACGAACAATTTAATCTATCATATGCATTTGTGAGATGGTAAAGGTGCTACAAACGCCTTTGAAAATGTTTTGAAATACTGTAAAATGGTTTTCAATGGGCCCAGTGTAGATGATCTTAGGCAACCCTAACCTTGAAGGCAGAATTCCATATATGGGGAGCCACCACTAAGAAGCCCACATTTCCAGTTGGAACCCAACTCACCCCAGATGGTGGGGAAAACTTTGTAAGAATTTCAAAAGGTTATCTCCATCCATGGAGCAAACTGATATAAGAGCCAGTATATAAAACCCAAGTTGTGTAGATTGAACAATAAGCACAGCATTTTGAGTGAGAAATAGATGGACAGCCACTGAGTACTGACAAATACCCAACCAGTCCTAATAAGCAACTAAACATAAAACATGACAAGAGCAGCAAAGGACAGTGATGATTTTTTTTTCTGACTTAAAATTTAGAGATACGACTTTTTAAAAACAGATATTCACATATTCAGCAGAGAAGGGCCCACAGGACTCAGAGAGATACACAAGCACCACTCTTATATATTATCCAGTACAGAGGGAAAAGTCCACATTTTAAAAAAAGATACAAAATGGACAAATTGAGGCACCATGTACATGGTTGTGTTAATGTCTGCATACCACTCGTTATCAAATCTCAGACTGCATTTCCTTTGCTTCTCTCTTTTCTTCTCTTGCTTTTCTTCCAGCCGTCTCTGGACCTTCTCTTTTTCTTCTCTTCTTTTAAGACGATAGGCTTGTTCCTGCTCTTCTATTTGTTTTTCTACCTTAGAATAGTTTTGTAAAGCCTGAATCCTCTCTGAACGTCCTATCTCTCTGGAATCCAAAAACTTAAAGGGGGAAAAATACAATGAAATAAAATTCAATGTAGTAGTCCAATTTATTCTGTATTGGATCATTTTCATTATATTTTTATAACTACAAATCTAACTTCTTTTTTTTGGTTTGCTAATCTGAATAGTGTAATGACTTGCATATGGAAATGTAATCATATTCTGAGTACATCATGAAAAGACAAGACTCACTGGAAAAAGACAATAATACTGAGGAAGCTGAAGGCAACAGGCTAAGAGGAAGACTAGATAAGAAATTGACTGACTCTCGAAAGGAAGCCATAGTCATGAGTTTGCAAGCACAAGAGCTGAGCAAAGCTGTTGATTACAGGATCTTTTGAAGGTCACTAAATCATGGGATTGGCATAAGTAAGAAGTGCCTTGGTGGCACATAAGAAGAGACAAGGAAAAATGAAACATGGAGACCTAGGGAGCTTTGGAACTTGAAAGAGGGGGATAGGAAGTTTTTAATTAATGTAATTATATCCAGAACCTGGATCTGGTTTATACTGGCATAACTACGCCAACAGGCTTTTGCTCGCTATTCCTTTTACTAATTAATTTAAAAAGTAACAGTGCATTACAATTTCCTAGTGAGCCACCTTTTAATTGATCATTCCCAATATATTTTAGAAGTGAACAGCGAATGATAGCTATTACACAAAAAAAGAAAACCAAGATTAGTATGTTGTTCACAAAAATATAATGTTACAAATGATATTATTAATTCCAAGCTCTGCTTTTGACAGAAAGAAATATTGTTTTATACTCTGAATTAGACATACTTTGAGTTGATGTAGTGTAGCAATCACAAATTGTCTATAACCTTGGAAATCAGTGCATGGGTTTCCTATAAGGAAGAGCTCTCTAAGATGTATATTATTTTTCAAGGTCTTGATACTGGACAGTTCTCCAATAAAATTAGCCGTCAGATCCAGCTTTTGCAAGTCTTCACAACCTATTTGAAAAATATGAAGTTTTAAAATCGCATCGTTAATGCATTTTGTAAGCATACACTCATTTCAGTATCACCGTGGGACACCCACCAGAGAATCATTAACATTTAAAAACGTACTAAAATTTCCTTTGTTTCTCAGGTTATGCCTCATAAAATAGGAGTGGTTTAATAAAATTGAGGTTCATTTGAAAAATTAAAATGGATTGGACCTACAGAGTATACTTTAGGTGACGATTCACAATCCTCTTCTATTTTGAGATGTAAGATCCCAGTTCAGCAAAGAGTTTTGCTTCTCTGTCAATAGGCACTTGCCCTGCCTTCATTTTCATGGGGAGATTAAAAGATACACTTAGGATTTTAAAACACAGATGGGCAACCTATATGTAAAGCCTGCATGATAAGTGCTACTTTCCATGCAGTTCAAGGGCCTCTATCCACTTCCCCCCCCACTACTCACCCATCAGAGGAGGAGCAGCGAATAGGTCATGGGTGAGAGGAGGCTTTAATTTTTTCCCTCCCCTGTGATCCTTGTTTGCTAGGTCTCTATATTTCTACTACTAGCAATCAGAATCTTTTGGGAATCAAAACAGCTTTAACACACACATCATTTGAGGGGAGGGAGAGAAAGTTTCAGCAGCACACCAACTTATATGCACCTGTAGTATTTATTAGGGACCAATGTAATACCAAGTTTAAGAACCATCCACTTCTGTTTTAATCCAACCATATTTCTGCACATTGCTTGCACATGAGAATTGTTTTAAAAAAGTAAGATCAGTGACAGTAAGTCAGAATAAAAGCATTATTTCAGATCCTGGCTGCTACTCAAATCACAGTTTAAAGCAACTATAGTCTCAGACATGTGGACATCCTCAGGAAACACAGTTAGCTTAAAACCACCACCAGATGCTGTACAGCAGTGGTCCACAACCTTGGGCCTCCAGATGTTCTTGGACTACACATTGCACAAGTCTTCACCACCACCCTCTGCTGGCCAGGATTTCTGGGAGTTGAAGTCCAAGAACATCTGGAGGCCCAAGGCTGGGAATCACTGCTGTAGAGTCTCTGTTCTGGTTTGTGAAAGAGACTGAGAACAGGAGAAAGTGCAACAGCCAAAGGCTCGCATGGCTCACGTCTTCCCAACAAATGAAGAAATTCTTGCATGCTATTTCTGAAATGTTTCTTTGTCTTGAGCAAACCCAGCTCCTGCAAGGCATGCACAATCCAAATGCCCCTGACATCAGCTGTGATGTCATCTGTTGGAATGCCTGGTCTTTCCCCTCCTCTATGGGCTGGAAACAGGGCAGAGAATGGGGAGGACACAAGAGGGAAGGGAAGAGGAAAGGTGAACAGAGAAAAAGAGGGGACGTCTTATTGTGTAGAAATTCAAATGGGAAGAATCAGGGGTACATTCAAGGAAAAATGAAGATAGTATGGAATGGGGAGTGAGCGGTTTTGTATCCACGGGGGAGAGGGACCACCTTTCTAACACCTGATGGCCCAGTAACTATATCATCTTCTCATAAAGAGATATACATCAGCCAGTATTCCATGGCATGAGTCTCCTAGTACAACAACATTGCACGTGTTGTCACTAAGTTTCAGCTTCTGCATGAGAAGAGCAAGGATCAAATGCTGGATCAAATGCGGTTTCCAGTTTTCAACCAGTTGCAGATCATTTGTACAAGAAGTTGCCCCAAAAGCAGTGTGCAGAGCAAACACAAGAACAAATATGTAGCTGTTTCAGCAATAAAAACAACCACAATGACACTCCTTTCCTCCAATAACTTTACACTGGATTTAGGCCCTGTGTATCCCTCCTTATCGACAGGTAAGACTTACTGGAGCTTTCTTAATACTGTGAAGATCTTACCTTCCAAATTTTCAATTTTTTCAATGTTGTTTAATGCTAAATTTAAATATTCAAGCCTCTTCAATTTGCTAACATTTTCTGTAACGAAATGTACTACACATATTAGTTTGCAAGAACACATTTAGCATTTCTAAAATCATTTAGCAGTTAACATTTTTAAAAGATTACCAGCCAAACACAAATTATAACAGAATTTTTGAACACAAAAAGAATACATTATTAGCACTTTGCTCCCCAAAATATAATTTGTGATTTAATCACATAAAACTTCTGTTAGAAAAATCACATCATGATAAAATAATGAAGATCTGAATTGAGTAACATATAGAGAAGAGATGGAATGTCCTATTCACTACAGGGATTTGGTGGATTAAGACAAACTGTTTAGCTCTTGTTGTTGTTGTTTAGTCATTTAGTTGTGTCCAACTCTTCATGAGCCCGTGGACCAGAGCACGCCAAGCCCTCCTGTCTTCCACTGCCTCCCGGAGTTTGGTCAAATTCATGTTGGTCACTTCGATGACACTGTCCGTCCATCTCGTCCTCTGTCGTCCTTTTCTCTTCTTCCCTTCACACTTTCACAACATCAGGGTCTTTTCCAGGGAGTCTTCTCTTCTTATGAAATGGCTACAGTACTGGAGCCTCAGCTTCAGGATCTGTCCTTCCAGTGAGCACTCAGGGTTGATTTCCTTCAGAATGGATAGGTTTGTTCTCTTTGCAGTCCAGGTGACTCTCAAGAGTCTCCTCCAGCACACAATTCAAAAGCATCAATTCTTCAGCGGTCAGCTTTCTTTATGGTCCACCTCTCACTTCCATACATCACTACTGGAAAAACCATAGTTTTGACTATGCGGACCTTTGTCGTCTTTTAAGATTTTAAATAGTTCAACTGGAATGCCATCACCTCCACTGGCCTTGTTAGCCATGCTTTCTAAGGCCCACTTGACTTCACTCTCCAGGATGTCTGGCTCAAAGTCAGCAACTTCATTGTCTGGGTTGTCCAGGATATCCAAATCTTTCTGATATAATTCCTCTGTGTATTCTTGCCAACTCTTCTTGATGTCTTCTTCTTCTGTGAGGTCCATCCCATTTTTGTCCTTTATCATGTCCATCTTTGCACAAAATGTTCCTTTAATATCTCCAATTTTCTTGAACAGCTCTTTGGTTTTTCCCTTTCTATTATTTTTATACTGTCAACCCTCGACTTACAAACAGCCCTAGTTACAAGCATTTCGACTTACAAACCGCTCTGATAGAAAAATATTGACTCGACTTGGAAACTTAGATTCAAGTTATGAACTGAAAAAAGGGTGGGAAAGCGCGAAATTTGAACTTTCAGTTAACTGTTGGCCAGTGAAGAGGGTGCCTGTCAACTTCCTCGCTCTTCCCAGCATTTTGAGAGTGGATTTGGAGACAGTCTTCAGACTGCCTGGTATTGCCTTGTACAGTGCTGTATGGACTGTATTTTTATTTTTTGCCTTTTTTTATTTTTTGTTTTTGGATTTTTAAAAGGTGTTCCTTCCCTCCTTTGCTGCCCCTTTTCCCCAAAAGTTGCTTGTATTGGCTTGTCTTGATTGAAAAGGTGCTTTTCAAGGTGATTTGTTGTCTGAAAGGTGCTTGGTTTTTCCCAGAAGGTGCTTGTCTTGGCTGAAAAGGTGCTTTACAAGGTGTTCTGTTGAAAAGGTGTCTGTTCCCTCCTTCCCTCCCTCTTTTCTTTCCTTTTTTTAAAACCTAGGTCATCTTAGGTTAAAGGAAAAAAAAGAAAAAATTCTGCCCCTAGTGGTAGGAACGGATTAACCAGCTTTGCTTTAGTTCCTCTGGGAACTAATGATTCCAGTTACAAACCACCCCTCAACCTAAGAATCAAAAACAGCCGGAACTGATTAATTGGTTTTCATCACATTCCTATGGGAAATGCTGATTCAACTTACAAACTTTTTGACTTACAAACTTCCTTCCAGAATGGATTAAGTTTGTAAGTCGAGGGTTGACTGTATCTTTGTACTGTTCATTTAAGAAGGCTCTCTTGTCTTCCCTTGCTGTTCTTTAGAAGTCTGCATTCCATTTTCTGTAACTTTCCCTATCTCCCTTGCATTTTGTTTCCCTTCTCCTCTCTGCTATTTGTAAGGCCTCGTTGGACAGCCACTTTGCTTTCTTGCATTTCCTTTTCTTTGGGATGTTTTTTGTTGATGCCTCCTGTACAATGTTACGAGCCTCTATCCGAAGTTCTTCAGGCACTCTGTCCACCAAATTGAGTTCCTTAAATCTGTTCTTCACTTCCACTGTGTATTCATAAGGGATTTGATTTAAATTATACCTGACTAGCCCCTTATTTTTTTAAATTTCTTCAGTTTAAGCTTCAGGTTTGCTATAAGACTGATAATACTTGACAATAAAAGAAAAAAAGCAAAGGTTTTTTTTCATGCTCTGTACTGTTATCATGAATAAATCTTCAATGTAGACAGATCCTAATGCACAATGTTTTCTAACTGTTCTCATCTCTAATACTTACATACCAATTTTGGGAATCAAGTTGTTTTGAAGATAGAGAATTTTTAAATCTCTGCACCATTTGTCAAGATGTTCTAATTTCTCTATATTTTGTTGGTGTAAGGAAATTTCCTCCAAGGAAAAGATCTCACAGTTGTTATGCTCTGCTCGTTGCCTAACAAGCTCTTCAGTAACTGAAAGAGAAATACACGACATAGAATCAATCTCCGTAAAGAAAAGAAAGAAGTATGCTGCTTATATGCTGCCCCATAGTGCTTAAAGCACTCTTTAAGTGGTTTGTAAGTTTAATTATACAGGCTACACATCCCACCCACCCAGCCAGCAAGTTTGGTACTCAACCTACCAACCTCAGAAGGATAGAAGCCTGAGTGAACCTCAAGGTGGCTACCTGGGACTGAACCCAGGTTGGGAGCAGAGTTTTCACTACACTACTGCAGTTTAACCACTTTGCCACGAGGCTCCTATTCCACAAAGAATAGTTGCAGTATCCATTTGCTTAGAAATATGAAATATAGAAATGAGCTTGTGTACTCTCCTCCTTCCTATACAGGTTCTTCTCAAAAGTATACTTCAAATGTACATATACACTTATTGGGCTCCCCTTCATCAGGACCAATGAAGACAATCTATTCCTTCCTTTTATGGAGACCCATCCCCCTTGTTTTATTCATTTATTTGATTTTTATACCGCCCTTCTGGCTGCCACGGCCACTCTGGGCGGTTTACAAAAACAGAATGAAACAATAACATAAAAAACCAAAATAATCAGGAACAACCAAACAAACTATAAGAGGTACTAAAACAAAGCACACTATGAAATCACATTAATAAAAGCGTAATAAAGTGAAATAAAAAGTTAAAAAGTTGTGTGACAGATTTAAAACACTTTATAAAAACTGGGGAGGGGAAGGAAAGCGTTGATTTCTCTCTGCTTGAGAAATGCAAAAGATGGACAAAATGGATTTGGAGAGAGAGAGAATTGTGTGTGTGTGTATACTTGTATATGTATGTTTGTGTGTGTATAGACACACACATATACAAGTATATGTATATACACATATACATACTGTGTGTGTATATATACACACACATACATATATATATATACTGTATGTATGTATGTATGTATGTATGTATGTATGTATGTATGTATGTATATATGTATGTATGTATGTATACACACACACACACACACACTGTATATATACTGGATATATATTGTATATATATATGTGTGTGTATATATACAGTATGTGTATATACATATACATATATACGTATGTGTGTGTGTACATGTATATGGCTTTGGCTACACAC